GGAATCTGAGTAGAATAGTCATTTGGACACAGTGTGGAGGGAAAAGCCCTGGAGAGATTCAGAGTATGGCAAGAGCGCCACCTCCACCCAAAGCGAACCTGGCAGTCTAGGGGATCCTCACAGTCCCACCTTAGGGAGCAGGCTCAGAGCCCTGCGGAGGAAGGTCTCAGCTTAGAGAAGCATAATCACAGGGAGACAGAAATTACTGCCAGGGACAGATGGTCAGGTTCATCTGTAGGCACTGACCTTAGACACACAAGTTTATTGTTATTAGTAATAATAGGCAATTTATTGTATAAAATGAGAGTTTAGCCATTTCTGTTCAAAGCGAGGAAAAGTTGGCAAGAGTAACCATTGACTTTGTTTTACTAGGTGGATCCTGGACTCAGGGTGGGGCCCAAATACTGATTCATTAGGAGGACTCACAGCTTTGATTTATCACAGGGAAAAGACAGGGCAAAATTTGCAAAGGCTCCAGGAGAGAAGACCTCGGGGATCATGGGCTCCCAAGGTCCCCTCCCAGGGGATCACTTAACTCCCCAGCCCAGAGTTCTGGGACAGGTGAGAAGGTGCCAGCAGAGACTCTGTGTCCTGAGATTTTGTCAGGGGCCTGTGCTGTCGGCAACCCCTACCCAGCACATAGCCAAGTTCCAGACCCCAGAAGGAAAGTCCGTGTTTAACACAAGCCACACTGTACAAACTGTTTAGGCACAAGGAGTCCCTCTTTACTAAAGGTGGTGGGAACCCTCCAGAAATCTAAGTTCCCAGATGCCAGCCTGGCCAGCTTCTGGGCAGGCCTTCCTGAGAAGAGAGCGGCTGACCTCCCTGCACCTTGGGTCTCATGTTGGCCTGGTTGTTTTAAGAATGTTGGAATAGGAAGAGGTTAAAACTTATTTAAGTCATTTTCTCTGTAGGGTTTTATTTGCACTATCCGTGGAGTCAAAAGGGGGTTAATTTTTCTCAGACAGCTGGGTTTCTCAGAACATAAAATTAATTGCCCCAGGCATTTGTGGAGCACCATGTGCTGGTGTCTGTGGCAGGCTCAGGAAATACAGCCGGAGCAGGACAAAGATTCAACTTTGAAGTCCCAATGTTGAGCTGAGGCAGATTTTTCTTCTAAGGGATATAGTAAAGCCAGCTACCCAGCTAGGTGCCATTAAATATGTGATGCACACACACCTCACTAAACGAGTGTGAGAAGGGGCATTTTTCCTACTGACATTTATTTAATAAACATTTACTGAACACCTAAAAAGAGAAGAAAAGAAACCCCTATGCTCAACACTGTGGGCCCTTAGAACTTGTCTCATAAAATGCCCCAAGGTTAGGTACTATAATTCCACTGGACATTTGGCGCTGACACTGACCTGCCCAATAAGCATTAATGCCCTGATGGTATGGCAAACTAACACCCTTATTATTTTTTTCACAGCATCACATCAAATAAATTAACATTCTCATCTCAAATGGTTCACTTGGCAGAGAGAAACCCACATGCTGTTAGTGAGAGAAGACGGGAGAAGAGTTCAGGACTCATGGAGAGAGGCGGATGGAAGGGGCACTGGACAGTTCATTAAAATGTATCAGCACCATCATGTGCCCACTTCCTGAAACGTCTGGATTATAATTTCCTGAAGCTGGGAGTGAGAGTAGTTCCATATCCAATCAGATGCAGGAATTCTTGGCATTTTTGTTCACATATGCCTTTGAGAATACCATGATAATGATAAACTCGGCCTGGGAAACATGTATATATTTCTCATACACAAAATCCTGTTCTATAAGGACCACTAGCTGTAATACTCAAGCTGCAACCCTACTAGTCACAGCACACACATGCTGTGTGACCCTGATCACTTGACTGCCATGAAATCTCTCTTACATCTAACCTGGTTTCATTCTGTAGCTTAAGCCTCTCTGCATTGTTTCTGTCCTGTTTGCTTAAGAAAAGATTATTACAGGACTGCTTGTATAAGTTTTTCATATATGCTTGCAAAGGGTTATGAAATTTTATCATTTTTCCTGAAATTGAAACTTTTCTGATCTTTCCTTACAGAGTGTGGCATAGAGTGCTAGTTACTTTCCAATACCCAGTTCTCCCTTCAGTGTCAGTTATCACCTGTATGATTACATTTTTTTGAGCCTCTCTTGCAGCTAGGTGTAGTCAAGTAATATTTAAACCAGCAATATATAAGCATTGTGCAATGTGGATATTCTGAAAACTCTCCCTTTTCTTATCCCGCCCTGCTGTCTGGAATGAAGATGCAGTAGCTGGGGGTCAATGGCCGTCCTGAGCCCTGAGCTTGAGGTGTGATGGGCAACACTGTGTGCTGACCCTTCTATTAGAAATAAATTTCATGAGAAAAGGCACTTTGCTTTTCTCAGTCAAACCCAGCATCTAAATATATGTCTGGTGTATAGTAAGGGCTCAGGTATTGAATGGGCACTGAATGAATAAAATGAATGAGAAAATGAGTTTACTCCAGACTATGTAAAACACTTATCATAAAGTCCTCCCAGAGGATATTCAGCCCACAGTAGCAAATGCAAAGTCTCTGTTTCTTTCACAAAATCAAAGTCTTGCTTAATTCAAATCATATTACTCTTAATAGCTTCCCTTTGCTCTCTTTGACTTGCCACTGTTATAGACAGAGAGGGTTTTTTCATTTGTTTGTTTGTTTTTACTACTCTCCTTTTGTGCTCTTCAAAGAAAATATTTTAAAATCTACTTTCTTAATAGTTGTTCAATTTATTTTTTTTTGCTTAGCAAGTTTAAAATCCTTTAATTTTCAAGGTCATGCATTTCTGTTGGTGTGTGTTTGTTAAATACAGGCACTATTCTGTAACCTAATCTTAGGTATTGTCTCAAGTCTACAAGAATCATTCAAAATGGTATCTAATGACCTTACTAGAAGTGCAGACAACATTATTACCACCATGGAATGCAGTCATTGGGTCCTAAGGATTTAACTAGATGCTGCTTACTGAAACTGAGCTTCATCAAATCCTTCCCCATTCCACTGTGGTCTCCCACATTTCAATACATTGCTCATTCTTTTCACCAAACCCGACTTGTATCTTTTAAACTATTAAATTGAATATTAATCATCTCTGCTTCTCTGATTTTTGAGGTGACCTTTCTCTCCTGCTATCCTTTCAATAAAGTAGAACACTCCCTCTGGTCCTTTTTGTATCCCATGAGATTAAAGGGTTTATAAATGTTCACACTTTTTGCAACTACATGTCATTTTCTTTTTAATATTTTTTCTTTACTCCCCCAAATTGCTATTTTTGACTACTTGGGAGAAATGATTAGCCTCTTCTTCTTTTATGACATATCTATTTATAGTAAAGCTCCTTGGGTTTTGTTCAAATTTCTTTTCAATCTACCCACCTTTTTGTTAGGTATTTTGAGCTTTTTTAAAGTGTGGACTTCTCTATACACTATCCTCTTGATAAGGCAACTCGAGAATTAAAGATTTTAGGCTTTGTTAATAGGCTTAAGTGATTAATGCGTGTGGAAATCCAGTATTCCAGGAACTGGCATGCACGACTCTAAAAGGTGACAAACAATTCAGCCTTTGTGCCCCAGGGGTCTGCAAGCTGACAGAGATGGTGTCTGAGCCATTCCAGGGAGGGAACTCCAGACACAGATCAAGAATCGCTGACCAACAGATAATGAAGTACTAGGAAATTTGCTGAACTTTTTTCCAAACCCCTTACCTACCCTTTCTTCTCCTTATAAAAAGGTCAGCTTGAGATGAGATATTAAGACCATCTTTGAGGGCATATAACCTGCAGTCTTCTAAGGTCACCGGCATCTGAATAAAGTGCCCATAAAGATACAATCCATGTCTCTATTTACCGGTTCTGATAGTGACAGGCAGCATTAACTTGATGTCTAGTTTCACTCTCTATCCCAGAGTAGCTTTCCAAACAGAAGACTTAAAATAGAGAAAAATAGGGTCATCAGCTGAGCTCTTCCTAAATCTCTCCTCTACCAGAAATGCCTCAGTGGCCACACAGGTCCTTTCTCCCTTCCCGCTTTCCTATCTTCCCGAAGCTAATCCACCCCTGCTCTGGAGTGCGCCCACTTCTGCCTCCTTGGGGGGGGCTCTCTCTGCCATTCTCCCTTCTCCTCCAACTCCATCCTTTTTTTATTCCTCCATCAGCTCTTACTCTTTAATATACAAACATGCTCACATCTTAAAACAATGTATTTCATCCTTAAATAAAAAGTCCTAACAGTCTATCTCCCTCTAACTACTACCACATCTCTCTTCTCAGCCAAATGTTTGGGAAGAGACGCCCTCCGTTGCTGTCTTCTCTTTCTCACGCCCTACTCACTCTTCACTCATTGCCCGCCATCCTGCTGGCACACACCTCCAGTCATCCAGCTGCCATAGCCAACGGCATTTGCAGCTTTCCTGCCCTCCCCACAACATTTGACTGTGTTTAGGGAGTGATGTGTGGAACCCAAGGCTGGGCCACTGTAGGCAAAGTGGGGGGTGGGGGTGGAACAACTACAAAGTGGGGGGAGGAGCCAAGCATTCAGAGTGGCATGCCTTCTCTGTAAGGTCCGCCCGCCCGTGGAGAGAACTCTGGGTGCAGTTGGTCCCTCGTAACCAGGTGACCATGGAATGTGTTCCGTTGGCTGCTGGCCGCCAGGGGAACTGCCTTCAGTTGAGAGGCCGCTGTGGAAGGAGGAGGAGCTTCGGCTGTGCTCTCTTCTCGAAGTGGTTGTGGTTCTCAGCAGTTGTCCAGACCCCACACCTTTTAAATAAGTCGGGCTGCTCCGTGTCCTCACAGACTGGTCAACTCAGGGGAGGTGGCAGCAGCTCAACAACATCGCCGGTGGCAGCAGGGGCTGGCCGCCCCTGATCCTGGCCCGGGGTCCCCCAGTCCAGTGGCCCCTGCACTGCACAGGGCTTTGCCATTGTGTGGAGCGAAGGGGGCTGCTGAGCTAAGGTGGGGACAGCAGTGAGGAGTGGAGGCGCCTCATGGGGAACAAACTGACCTGTTGCCTAATGCCCACTGCCAGGCGCAAGCCAGGCCGGTGGCACTGTGGGTGGGTGGGGTCAGATGATGGGTCTGGTGTCTACCAGGGGGATTCCAGGAACTCGGCGGCAGCACCACCAGTTCCAACTGCCCTGGAACCTACTGGGTTGAATCTCCACGCCTGCGAAAGCCACCATGTGCTGCATATCAGTGACCTGGAGATGTCCAAAGGTAAGGAGGCGGCAGGCATTCTCTGCTCTCAGGTGCATCCCTATCTCTGCTGCTCCCCAGAGTCCCCTGGAAGGGAGCCACCACCTTGGGCTCCTTTGTGCCCCTAGCCAGCTGGCTCTGGCTGGCATCCTCTCCCCTTATTTGTTTCCCATCGTGCCTGCCCAGTTTCTTTCCCTCTTATCTAACCAAATGCCCAATTCTGTCTTCTATTCCCGTTTTCCATCCTGGCCTGAAACACTCCAGTCCTCTACCCTTCCTATTTATGTCTCTGTTTAATGTCTTGTGGGACTCTGAGAAGACTCTGAGTATATTTTCTCCCTTTTCTCAGTGAAAACTTGTCCCATCTTCAGAGTATCCATTCCATCTCCCTATCCTTACCTCTCCAGATGGTTCCTAAGTGAAGGAACCAGGTAAGGCCTAGTGGTACCCTTTCTCCCACCCATGAAGACATCTGATACTTGGGACAGTTCAGCCTAAGATTTTAGTGTTTGTTATTTCAATTTAACATAGAGACTGACATAAGAGAGTCTATATGGGGTTTTTGAGTAGGCTGTTTTCAGTTGCCTGGATAGAAGCTGCTTTATTCCTTCCAACTATAATTTGAACACAGAAGGAAAGAAAATGGTGGGAGAGGGAACTTAAAGTTACTGAATAGTGTGAAATGTTACTGCCCCTACAGAGAATAGTTTATTTTTGTTTGGTTTGGTTTTGCCCAAAGGAGAACCCACAGGGTTCTGATTACTTTAACATAGCCACTCAGGCACAAGTAAGTCTTCAGTCTTCCTTCAGTGGCTGAACAGACTTCACTTTCATGTTGCCTGTTCTAGAGGAGCATGGGGGTGGCTCGCCAGACTGTTGGTCTAAAGTTCCAGAGGAGAAGAATACAAATTTAGATTTTGTACAAAGTGTTGGGAGTTAAGATGTCAGGTCCTGCACCAGAATGTTTGTCTCCGTGGCTCCCTCTCCATTCTCTCCCCTCTTGCCAGTAGATTCCTGTTTAACTGTAAGAATGTTGGGTTCTAAAGACCAAACTGCTGATGGTGGGGGTGGGGAGAGGAAGGAAGAGAGATGAAATGTTTGGTTTACCCTGACTGGATAGCTTGGTAGGTTGGAGCATCACCCCACAGGCCAAGGTTGCAGGTCCCATCCCCAGTCAGGTCACATACAAGAATCAACCAACGAATTCTTAAATAAGTGGAACGACAAATCCTTGTTTCTCTCTCTCCCTCTGCCCCACCTCCCTCTCTCCTCATCCGTTCTCTCTCTCCTCCTCCCTTCCTTTCTCTCTCTGAAATCAATATATGAATTAATTAAAATAATTCTGGGTAAGAGTGTAGTTAATGAAAACTGTGTTCTATTTCATTTCATAGAGGAAATGCCTTATAGCTCTTATTCTATTTAAATTTTAATTGAATGCAGGTCATATTTTCTGGTCTCTCCACAAAGTGGGCCTATCTCAATTTAGTCCAGTCTTGATTACTTTCATGTGAAATTATTGTATGCAATTTGGAAGAAACATTTATCCTTCCATCCTGTGTCTATAAATGCTTTGCAATGGATAAGAATAAAAGTAGAAGTCATGAAATAGCATGAATATACCACATTTACTAGTTGATATATTTTAAAGAGTTTGTTCCAGTGACACATTGAAGCTGAGAATCCTCTGGACAAACAGGGACTTTAAGGGAAGCTGGCAGAGGGCAGCTCAAGTAACCAGGATGAAGGCTGGGCCTAATGCAGAAATGTGTTAAATCAGAAAGTTGAAAAGAAGTAGAGTTCATGGGTATAGAATTTACATATTGATGTTAAATATGATATTTAAAATGGTATTTCAACTTGTCTTTAATTTTGGGAGGGCATTTAATAAAGTGATAAGAGAAACCTCATCTTCAGCATTTGCCTATTGTTTCCATAGAAACAAGGTCAGAACACCAAATATAAAGCACAAGTACATTGAAAATTTGCTTTTAATGTATTTATTTCAGACAATTTTATATCAGTTTCCCTGGAAACTAAGAACTACCTACTTAGATGTAAAACATTCAGAGTTGAATTATTTGGTTACTTACACAAAATTACACAAGAATGATGCTCTGCCTTGTTCTTCTGAAACAGAAGAACACAATTTCTTTAAGTCATTTCAAAGAGACAATCTTAAGAACCTAGTACAGATTTCTGATAGACTTAAAAGTATTTCTCTACTACCTTGCCTTTAACAGAATATCTACTACAATTGGTGGTATTATCAGTAACACACAAAAAAGACACTAAGTTTCTGTTATCCTATTTTACTATTACTAATCAACTTTTCAAACAGCTTTTAATGTTCTAACCTTACAAACTTTGCTAATTTGCCAGCTAAAGGTGTCTCTCAAGTGACCTCTTCCTCCCCCTACCCCCGAGGAGTGAGTACATAAGAAACTGGCAATGTCATGCAGAAAAAACTCTGCGCAACAGATCTTTACTTTCTTGTAGCTATTTTAACCCAACTTTTTTGTGTGACAGTATTAATAAGCATTTGATGTAAAAGATTTGAAAAATACAGAAAAATCATTCACTTGTGCTCAGAATACTCGGCACTTTTTTAATATTTTAGTGTTTATTCTTCCTGAACCTTTGGGTATATATAAACTTAACATTGTGTTTATTTTACAAAAATGAGGTCAGTCTTCATGTGCTGCCTTCTAACTCTTTGTTATAACGAGAAGTAATGACATAAGCTCCTGGAACTGTGCCCAGCAGCTAGAGAGCACCCCCGCGTGTGTTTCCAAGCAGTGCTGGAGCCCTACCGCAGCCTTTCAGCAGCTGCTCAGTGCGCCATCGCGTGGTGGAGCAGCTCAGTTACCACCCGTTCCTTAGGACTGGCCATCTTTCTTCTTCTTTTTTTTTTCTTTAAGATTTTATTTATTTATTTTTGGAGAAAGGGAAGGGAAGGAGAAAGAGGGAGAGAAACATCAATGTGTGGTTACCTCTCACATGCCCACTACTGGGGGCCGGCCCCCATAACTCAGGGATGTGCCCTGACTGGGAATTGAACCATGGACCCTTTAGTTTGCAGACTAGCATTCAATCCACTGAGCCACACCAGCCAGGGCTCTTTTTTATTTTTTAATTGTATTTATTTATTTATAGAGAGAGGGGAAGGGAGGGAGAAAGAGAGAGAGAGAATCATGAATGCAAGGGAGAAACATGAAATGGTTGGTTCTCATACACAGTCTGACTGGAACTGAACCGGCAGCCCACACATGTGCCCTGACCAGGAATGGAACCAGTGACTTTTCACAACCCAGCCAACACTGGTCAGGGCTGGTTAGTCATCTTTCAAAGTGAAACCATGCCCTGGCTGGGTGGTTCAGTTGGTTGGAGCATTGTCCTGTGCAACTGTGTGTTCAATCCTGTCAGGGTGCATGTGAGAAACAACAGATCAATGTTTTTCTCCCACATCAATGTCTCTCTCTCTCTCTTTCTCTCTCTCTTCCCCTCTCTCTCAAATCAGTTAACATATCCTCGTGTGAAGGTTTTTTAAAAAGAGAAACCATACACATCTTATTGTGTACAGCTTCCTAAAGCATTCTGGGGACAGATATGAAAATGTATTCATTGTACCTACATGTAGAATTAAAATTATATACTTTGTTATAACTTAAGATGTAATTTTTGTGGTTAAGATATTTTAGCACTAGATGTTTTCATCCCACATTTAAGTTATCATTGGCTTTTCATTGGACATTAGAACTTCTCTTTTAGGTTTCTTGGGGGTTTGTGTCTTTAATTCTAAATAACTACTGCTCTAAGACCTGAAAGAAATGCTGATCTTAAATGACAAATCAAAAGATCGCGTTAGATAAAATCTTAAAAAATGTAAAACAGTTGGGAGAAACTTCACTGGTTTGGGGTACACGGAGACAGCTGTGTCTCAGGGCACCATTCCAGATGCAGGATGCACAGTGGCACACAAGACAAAGGCCCTCCTCTAACTCAGGTTTTCCATTCCAGAAGACTCCAGGAGCATACAGCACATGAGCAGTCAAGAACATCAGGGTGGTTAAAGACAGCTGCTCTCTTTAAGTGACACTGAGCAGTTCTAGAAATGAGAGGGAGCCCTGTGAAGAATGTGGGAGGAGAGGCTTCCATGCAGAGTTCCTCAGATGGGAATAGCAGAGTGCAGGCCAGCAACAGAAAACAAGGGGAGGGGCGTTGGGGTGGCTGTGACCCAGTGAAGGGGACATCAGTAGGAATATGGTAGATTAAGGCCTTGTATACCTAGTGGGCCTTGACAAAAATAAGAAATTTTGTCCAGTTGCAGTGTAGGATTACATGCAGGGAAACAATGCTAATTCTATAAAGAGTGCGAGCCACAGTGAGAGAGAGCAAAGCTGATGTGTGAGAATAGGGTGGGAGCAGGGAGTCCAGGTAGGAGGCTGGTACAGTAGCTCAAGTGAGAGCCAGTGGTGGCTCGAACAATAACAAATAAAAAAAAAAGGCCCAAAATAGGCTGACTTAAAGAAATGAACTACATCTAAATGTAGAATGAAGAAGTAACAGAAAAAGAAAGGCAGGTTACCTTTAAACATGTCTTTACACTTAAGAGAAATGCAAGCTATGCTGTAGTTTCTCTCCTGTTGGGAGAAGATCCATAAACTTGACATTGCATTCTTTGGTAAAGCTGTGAAGTAACAGTCAGCTTCATATATTGCTAATGGAAATGCAAAATGGTTTGGTGACAGGAAGGGGATGTTGGCACAGTCTCACCAACAATGTGAATGGCAATAATCAAGAAATCCTACTTAGAGGAATTTATTCTGAGGACATTGCCACAAATATGAAACCACATATTCACAAAGTTTTTGTTGAATTATTTTTAAAATAAATACTGGAAATAACCCATGTCCAGAAAGGAACTGGTAAAATAAACTGGTACATCTACACAGTACACTACGATGGAGCTGTAAAAAGGAATAAGCTACTTCTTTACTGCTAGGTGGTGATCTCCAGGATGAGTTATATTAAAAAAGGAACAGGACATACAGTAACCTACATGACAGAAACAGGGGAAATACTCATTTGTTTATTAAAAATAAAAACCCCCACTGAGAGAAATTCTTGCTAATTGTGTGCCTTTTCTTCCTTTCCCATTAAAGGGCAGTCAAAACATGTAATTACTTAAGATGCTGTTTGTATATGGGTAGTGAATGGACATTTCATATACTTTCCAACCAAATGCTAACTGTTCATATTTTGCTTTGAGTTAATTTGTGAAAGCTTTGTTTATGATTTTTCTGGGCTCTATATGTAGTATATAAATTGCTCTTGCATTTCATTTGCTCCTCACAATGTTTTGAGTTAGGTAATACAGGAATTATATCTGTTTTACATGTGAGAAGACAGAGTTCTGAGTGGTATAAATTGAGTTGTCAAAGGTTTGATAAATGATGCTTGATAGAGCAGGAATGTAAACTCCAGATATGTGGCACATAGAAATAGAATTTTTAGAATGACACATCATGTGAGCAGCTTTGAGAATACTACCTTTTCCCACACACACCCTTTTTCTAGTGTATTAACGTAATTAAACTTTAAGGTTAAAATAGTTAACATTACATAATGTGAAGTAAAATGGAGGAAATTGCTGTGCAGAAATCTTCTTAAAAGTCCAAGACACTGAGCAAAGTACTTTTTGAAAATACTGCATGAAAGCATCATGCAAATTAACAATGTTAGGGCCCTAGTGGGTACAATACATATAGTTATACACAGGACATGCAACTCAGCACAGTGGAAACGACACTGTTCACTGTGGTCAAGCTGTGTAATCAAGGAAATGCAAGTTACAGACACTGTGAGGTTCCTCATTCACATAACTAGAATTGTGTTTCAGGTATCCAGAGCTGGGGCAGACTGAAGCTGCTATGACTGGCAGCATTATCCACGAATATGCCCTCACCTGTTTTAGGACGCAGCTCAGTAGTACATACTGAGCCACTGAGCCCTAAAAACGATCTAACCTTTTGGTGTAGTCATTTTATTTTAAAGAGCTGTTCTGGGGAGGTTTTAACAATTGATTTAAAAATAGGATATACACTAAAGTTTTCTTTTTTAAAAGTTTTATAACAATGGAACTTTGTAAGTACTTCAACTCCAGTAAGAGGTTGGCTGGGTAAAGTACAGGAATAATCCTTGATGGGCCATTATGTGTCCATTAAACAGCAAATACACTTGCAAGTTAAAGAGAATCTATCTCAAAATAGCTTAAAATTTTTTAAAGAAAAGTATTGACTTGTTTAACCAGAGTTCACAAAGTAAAAAGCAAGGTTCTCCTTGAACTGGGAATTAAACCATCTCAGAATTGTCTCAGTTCTGCTTTCCTGTTGATTTCTCCTGAAAAAGGCTTTCCCCGAGTGCTGGCAGAGGGGAGTTCACAGCTCCACACTCTCTAGAGATCCCAGCACAGCTGTCTTTCTGTTCCAGTTCTTGGGAGGTCCCAGGCCAGCTGTGATTGATTGATTGGTCAGCCCGGGGCACGTGCCTGCCACAGAACCCTAGCTGTAGCACAGAGGAAAGTTCAGTTTTTGTTTGTTTTTTGTTACTTGAGCTAATTTTGATTTTTCTTCCCTGCATATTGTCATTTCTTTTCTTCCAGCATTCTTGATGTTTGCATTTAGAGCCCTAGCAGCACATCTTGGTTTGAGGCAAGTGTGTGAGTGAGTGTGTGTGAGTGAGTGTGTGTGAGTGAGTGTAAGCCTGCTTCTTCTTTGATTCTGGTACAAAGTTTTCCTGGGCTTCCCACTGAAAATTTTAATTAAACTTTATCTTATCATCAGCACTGATGCATAATATGGCTGCTTCTACAAACATTCGTTCTTATTTATTTTTATTCAATTGCAATATATTTGCTTTATTTTTGGTGGGAAGTAGTCCTGATTTCTATCAGAAGTCTAGCTTAGAGGCTGCTGTGACAGACTCTGGCTGTCACTTTGTATAAACTAAATTAATTTTTCCACATGGCTAGCATTGTCTAATTTTTCAAATGTGTGGGAAAACACCTTTAAAATAACTTTATGGGTATTTTACATTGGAATGTTGAATAGAATAGTTTCTCCAAAAGCAGTTTAAGGAATTTTCTTGAAGAAAAAAGCAGTTGGTTTAGCAGTATAAATTTCTAATGTTAACAGTGCCATTAAAATGGATGGCTCAGATGTCTCTTAAACCAGGAAGTCCCAAATTATGTTTGTGCAAGATTCTAACTGTATTACTTGGAAGGGAAAAAAGAGATTCTAGGTAAATAAATTTGTGAAATGATGTGTTAGACATTATTTATTACTAGACTGATTTGTTTTTAACATATCAATGAACATTTTGATTCTCTAAGAACTAGGCATATAGCTTATTTAAATTTGATCACCAAATCCCTTTAAAAAAATAAAACCATTTTTATGTGGCTTGGGAAATATTGCTTTAACCAGGACTGTCTTGGGATCTTGGTCTACTTTCTTATAAGATTGGTTAGGTGGTTTGAGATGGACGTTACTGAGGACTATCATAGGGTTTGTTTTTTAAATTGACAACTTTATTATTCCACATAGTGGCAAACTTTATGTTATTAAAATTCAAGTACCTGTTTTGTATTCTTGCCTAAATAGATCATTCTACCTTGGGGCAAGGCGGACTGCAGGCAGACCTACCTTTACATAGGTACAGCAAATTCTTTTTACAAGCAGCCTTATAATCAGCTCCATAAAGTATTTTTACTGAAGCCCCAAATTAATTATGTGGCATGGAAGGAAGAAGTGAGACTTTAGCTTTGGAAGTTGAGGATAAAATGTTAAAAATCACTTTGATGAGAGTATTGAGAGTCACTAGCATGAAAGCATTCCTGCAGATTGGTGCACTGGACTTTTATGCTGCCCTTCGAACTCTGCCACGATGAATAGCCCCAGGTAAACTATAGCTAACTGATTCATTTCTTGGATGGAGTTAGAATTAGCCTAAATGTCTAAAGAACATTTACCAAAAACAACTCACTTGGTTTGGGCATATTTGATGTATTAGCTGGCGTCTGCTACTCACTGGCCGCAGCACAGCTTGCTTCTAGAGACTGTTCCTGGAATTTGCTAGTAATATCAGCACAAAAAAGAGACTGTATTTCTAATTGATAAGGAGAAGGGGGAAATACATATGTGATGCATCTAAAAGTTTTATAGATTATTTAAATGCAAGTTTAAAAAAAGCTTAAGACATAGCCTGTTTTTTCCACCTGTATAGAGAGATTCCACAGTTTTGTATTTTCCTCATAGAATTTTTATATTGTTGCCTTTATTAAAATTGGCTTGTTACATCACTAAAAACTCTTCCCAACACTGTTAAAAGTAATTAAAATTGGTGTGTAGCTATTTAAAAAGTTATGTCTTTTTCTACTCAACTAAATTATTATGCCTTTTTCTCTTCCTCTTCCTCCTCTACAGAGTTGGCTTCAGAATTAATACCATCTGACCATCCAAGGGCAAGCACGATTTTTCTGAAGAAATATCAAATAGATGGTAAGTTAAGATAGGATTTAGGTCATAGTTAGGTTTTATTTGAACAAACCAAAAAATCAGGTGTCTATCTATATACAAGGATTGAATTTGTGATTTTGGCTTTGTTTTTATGGTTCTCAACAAAATGATCCTATCTCACATCTAAAGCTTTTTTATAACTTTATTTTTATTGTTAACACTATTACAGATGTCCACATTTCCCCACCACCCCATGCTCACCTCCACTCAGCCCCTGCCCCCCTCCCTGTGGCTGTCATCCCACTTTTGACGTGTCTGTGGGTTATGCATATAGGTTCTTTGGCTAATCCTTTCACCTTATTTCATCCGGTCCCCCCGCCACCGTCCCCTCCTCTCTAACAGCTGTGAGTCTGTTCCATGTGTCCATGCCTATTTCTGTTTTGTTCATCGGTTTGTTTGTTTGTTTCGTTAGATTCTACATATAAGTGAGATCACATGGTGCTTGTCTTCCTCTGACTGGCTTATTTCATTTAGTATAATATGCTCCAGGTCCATCCATGCTGTCACAAAGGGTAATAGTTCCTTTTTTTTTTATAGCCACTTAGTGTTCCACTGTGTGAATGCACCACAGCTTTTTAGCTACTCATCAACTGATGGGCACTTGGGCTACTTCCAGATCTTGGCCATTGAACTAGTCAAAATCATCTCATCCTAATGTAATGCTGCCAAGGTACATCAGAGCAAACGTAGCCTGATGGGGTTTCCTAGAAGCTTAGCATCAGCATGTGAAACTAGTGGCAATTTAACATGTCCTGTTTGTTTTAGGATAAGGATCAGAACTGTAGGATTCTACGTTTCTCTTTGCCTGCTTATTTTCTTTAATGTTTTGTTAAATCAAGTTTATTTTCATGGTGGGTGTCCATTTTGCCTGTCTGGCCGTGATTTTTTTAGTTAAGACTGCTATATTTCTCAGTTTCCTCCAGAGCCATGGGCTGCTCTCATGTAGAGTGAGTGGTGACAGTACAGGAAAAGCTGCCCCATGTCCCCCTCTTCTGTCCTGAGGAGTGTGTGGCTATGATGACCTTCCCACATGAACGGAGGCAGTGTGGGAAAACAAAGTGCAGCCCAGATCCACTTGGGAGCTTTTACTCTTCTGGCATTTGTTAGAGAAAATGATTTTGTGTGCTGTAGATATGTTCAGGCAAGTTAGCCACGGTCATTTTAAAATTTAAGTTTAAATGGGTTACTCTTCAAATGAGGAAAGACCCATTTAATTTTTTTAGTAAGATATTTTAGTTGATTATTTATAAGTGGTTCAGGATGCTTTTGGGGTTGCTGGTACATCTATGGATTAGTGCCTGAACAGAAACAGGTTCTAAGAGCTGTGAACTGTTAGATCCTAGTGATTCAAGTAAGGTGGATTCAAGTATATGTGTAAATGCAAAGTTAGAAACTAGCCCTGGCTGGTGTGGCTCAGTGGACTGAGCACCGGCCTGCGACCCAAGTAGTGGCCAGTTCAATTCCCAGTCAGGGCACGTGCCTGTGTTGAGAGCCAGGTCCCCAGTAGCAGGGTGCACGAGAGGCAACCACACATTGATGTTTCCCCTCTCTTCCTCCCTCCCTTTCCCTTTAAAAATAAATAAATAATATCTTTAAAAACAAATAAAATAAAATAAAATTAGAAACTACTACTGAATAGTGGTTCAGAAATGCAACAGGTAAACTGTTTTAACAGGTAAGTTTTTTTCCCTGGCCTAGTTTGCTTTGTCCTTTTCTTCTGTATGTGGAAAGACTTTTATTTGTACCTAATATAGAATACCTGTTAGGTCAAAAAATAAAAGTTAAATTTTACTTTATGGGATTAATCTTGCCAGGTGATTTAAATTATTAATTTTATTGGAAATTATTTAAAAGTAGAATAAAATTTTGTCTTATTTTGTACGTTGACAATCTGTTAGATAGTCAGTAACTTTTGTTTTTCTATGCCATTATTATCAGAATTGATCAGTTAATTTTTTTATTCTTAGTACAAGGAAAGAGGAAGAAGAACTTTTCATATCATGTAAGTAAACAGTTGAAAAGTTAAGTAAGAAACTAATAATTTGAATTAAAAATTGTCTTCCATGATTTTAAAAAAATATATAATGTACCCAGCATCATTAGCATGGACCTGTTTTTGTAGATTTTCTAAATCTCTTCTATTTTAATTATCAAATGTACATATTTAGGAAAGATTTGGCTTTGTAACGCCCATTTTTTTTAAAAGTTCTGACATTTAAGTTAAATTTCAGTAAGGAAGTTGGTGGTACCAAGAGCTGCATTAATTTTTTAACCTTGTTTTTTAACAAGATGAACTACAACTTTATAGCTAAGTTAATTTTTAACACTACTGACTTCCTGTCACAGCAACTGAAAGCTTAGGTTTCTCACTCCTCTGTCCCCGCATGTATGATGGTGTTTATTAAATCAGAATTGATGTTTACATTATTATGACTGTGCACATACGTTTTACTGCTGAGTCATGTAGGTCTCTGGCTGTGCCGCCTCCTTGTACACCCTTCATCCTCCTTCTCAAATGCGACTGCAGTCTGAGTGCTTCCACCCTTCTCCAGGACAGTCCAAACCCCTCTTCCTCCTTAACATGATCTCACGTAGCCAGATGCAGTGAGAGGCTTCTCTGCTGGTTTCTCTGCTTTCAAAAGTAACTTCTTTTGTACATAACAGTCTAGTCATTTGGCAGAGAAAGATGACTACCAGACAGAAATACTACATATATACTACATTAACTGAATACTTAGTTCATTTTCCCAAACAAGGCTTCATTTTTGTGTATCTGGAATTTTTTGACTACATACACTTTCCTGTTTCTAACAGCTCTTTTTTCCCCAAAAATGCTGTAACATTTGTCACAGGCTTGTCAAAAATATTTTCCATTTCCTAAACACATCTGTTACATTTTTTATTGGAAACAATCTTCCCCAGCCTTTTGTCATCCCACTCTGGTATAGACTGGTTTTCCCTGGGCCTGCTCTGTTCCTGTTTTTTTTTTTTTGTTTTGGGGGGCTTTGGGGGTTTTTCTTTGGCATGTTTCTTTGACATCTTTTGGGATCTCATATAACTGCTCTCTTGTGTCGGATCCCCTATGTCCTAGATCAATGGTTTTCAACCTTTTTCATTTCATGACACACATAAACTAATTCCTAATATTCTGTGGCACACCAAAAAATGTATTTTTTGCCCATCTGACAAAAAAATAAGTATAATTTTGATTCGTTCACACTGGACGGCCATTGTGTTGGCTGTTGTCATTTTTTTTAACTTCACAGTCCAAAGGAAAAGAGGTCAGTGCCCCTGACTAAATTGTCAGGTATTGCATGTTTTAAAAATTCTTGCAGCACACCAGTGTGCCACTCGTTAAAAATCACTGTTCTAGATTGCATGTTTTTCCCTTTCTTATTATATTCTTTTATTTTACTGGAACACATTTCCCTGGGAAAGGATACATAGACAGAAATTTTTAGAGACCTAGCCTCTCTGAAATGCCCCCTATTTAATAAACTATAGAATTCTAGGTTAAAATTAAGTATTGCAGTTCTAAGGACATTTTTACTCTTCTTATTACAGTGTTGCTCTTAAATCAGTTGGCATTGTATGATACACTGTATGTCACCAATTTTAATCATTTTCACCCCATCCCTTTCTTCTCTGGAAGCTTTTAGAACCTTCTCTATCCCTGGGATTCTGAAATTTCGTATGGTTTGGTACATACCTTTTTCATTTCCTTGTGGCCATTAAGACTGAAGATCTTCCCCTGCCAGATGTGGCTCAGATGGTTGGAGTGTTGTCCTGAAGCCAAAAGATCAAGTGTTCAATTCTGGGTCTGGGTACATACCTGAGTTGCAGGTTTCATCCCTGGTCCAGGCACATATGATCCCCAGCCCAGGTGGGTGTAGGAGACAACTAGTTGATATTTCTCTCTCACACTGATGTTTCCCTCTTTCCTGTCCTTTCTTCTCACCTCTCTCTCTAAAAGCAATGAAAAAAAGTCCTGGTGTCAGGGTTTAAAAAAACACAACAAAAGCTGCAGATCTTACTGAAAAGAATTTTTGTTTCTTTGATATTTTCTCTATTCCTTCTTTTTTCTAGTATTCCTATTACTCAAAAGGTGGAACTCTTAGACAAGTTTTCCTGCATGGATCTCTAAATTTTTCCCCCTCTTATTTTCCCTTTTGTCTTTTTCTACTTCCTGGATATTTCATTGACTTTATGCTCCAACTCTTCTATAATTCTTTGTTTTCTCTATTTTGTTTTTAATTTATAGTGTTTTCTTGTATTCTGTCATTCTCTTTAATAGCATTTCATTCTCTTACCAATGCATTTTTTGCCTTTCTGAGGTTAGGATTTATTTTTAAGTTTTTATTTGTTCCTGAATTTTATAACTCCCATTAACTTTCTTTTCTTTTTTTTATGCAATAGTTCCCTCCCCATAGGACAATTCGTTTCCTAATACCATAGATTCTAAGTTGCTCTATTAAAGTAATCATTAAAAAATGTGATGTTCATAGCACACAGATTTTAGGAAATATTTTCACTTTTTTATGAGTTCAGATTTTTGGGGGTTTTTTTCATTTTTAAAAATTGTATTATATTGATTATGCTATTACAGTTGTCTTGATATTTCCCCCTTTGCCTCCTTCCACCCAGCACACCCAACTCCCTCAGGCAATCCCCCTGCCGTAGTTCATGTTCATGGTCATATGCATAAGTTCTTTGGCTACTCCATTTCCTATAGTGTACTTTATATCCCCATGGCAATTCTATAACTACTTGTTTGTACTTCTTTATCTCCTCCCTGCTTCATCCACTCTCCCCCACACCCTTCTCCCATCTGGCAACTATCAAAACACTCTCTGAATCCATGATTCTGTCTCTGTTCTTCTTGTTTGCTTAGTTTGTTTTTCAGATTCAATTGTTAATAAATTTGTATTTATTGTCATTTTATTGTTCCTAGCTTTGATTTTCTTCTTTTTCTTAAATAAGTCATTTCATATAACATTTCATATAATAGTGGTTTGGTGATGATGAACCCCTTTAGTTTTTTTCTTGTCTGGGAAGCTCTTTATCTGCCCTTCAATTCTAAGTGATATCTTTGCAGGGTAGAGCTATCTTGGATGTAGGTCCCAGCTTTTCGTGACTTTGAATATTTCTTATCAGTCCCTTCTAGCCTGCAAAGTTTCTTTTGAGAAATCAACTGTCAGTCTTATGGGAGCTCACCTCTAAGAACCTAACTTGTTTTCTCTTGCTACTTTTAAGATTTCCTCTTTATCTTTAATCTTTGGCATTTTAATTATGATGTGTCTTGGAGTGGGCCTCTTTGCATCATCTTGTTTGGGACTCTATGTGCTTTCTAGACTTGCATGTCTATTTCCTTCACCATATTAGGGAAGTTTTCTTTCATTATTTTTTCAAATAGATTTCCAATTTCTTGCTCTTTCTCTTCTCCTTCTGGCACCCCCATAGTGCAAATGTTGTAACCCTTGAAGTCTCAGAGGCTGCTTTTGAAAATACTATCCTCATTTTGGGGGATTCTTTTTTTTTCTTGATGTTCTGATTGGTTGTTTTCTGCTTCCTTAAGTTCCAAATCATTGATTTGATTCTCGGCTTCATCCACTCTACTGTTGTTTTCCTGTAAATTGTTCTTTATTTCAATTACTCTTTATTTCAATGAAGTGTATTCTTTGTTTCTGACTGGATCTTTTTTATGTTGCTGAGGTTCTCACTAAGTTCCTTGAGCATCTTTATAAACAGTGTTTTGAATTCTGCATCTGATAGATTGCTTATCTCCATTTCATTTAGCTCTTTTTCAGGAGTTTTGATCTGTTTCATTTGGGCCATCTTTCTTTGTCTCCTCATTTTGGTGCCTCCCTGTGTTTGTTTCTATGTATTAGGTAGAGCTGCTTTAACTCCATGTCTTGGTAATGTGGCCTAACATAGTAGGTGTCCTGTAGAGTCCAGTGCCATAACTTCCCCTATCACCCAAGTTGAGTACTCAAGGTGTGCCCTTTGTGTGGGCTGAGTACATCCTCCTCTTATAATTGGGCCTTGGTTGCTGTTGGCAGATCAGTGGGAGGGATTTATCCAGGCCAGTCAGCTGCAAGGACTGGCTGTGACCACTGACCACAAACCTCCACTTTCCGTGGTAGATTAGCTGTTCAGGTGCAGGGTGGTGAGTGGTGCTCCCACATGGTCTGTAGCTGTCCACGGAGTGCATTGGCCATGGGGTTTCTCTGGTGGTACAGACCAAGGTCAGCTGCCACCTGTGTTTTGCGTGAGCTGCCCTTCCTGAGCTATAAAGCAATGTGAGATGCCTGGTACTTGTACTGAGCTTGAAGATTCCCAGGTGAAGACAAGCTGTGAACTAGGTTGGCTGCCACTAGTGCTAGGCCTGCAGGTCACTGAGGCCAGATGTTGCTTGTTTGAGGATTTAGGAAATTGTGAAAAGCAGCTTGGGTGGGCCCATAAGTTGAGTGGGGCAGAGTCTCTGGAGATCTCCAAACAGAGGCAAACAGTATTAGACAGGTTGATGGAGCCTCAGGTATGGCACCAGCTTGCCAGCTCTGTGGGGGAGGGTTTAGAAAAGAACAATGGCCTCTGCTCACTTTGATGCCAGACATTTTAGTTTCTCCCTGTATACCTCTGGCACCTTTCAAACTGCTACTCTGTTCCTGGAGATCAGAGGGATTGGAATCTCAGTAAGTGAGTCCATGTGTGGGTTCTTTAAGAGGAACTGCTTGGGATTCCAGTTTCTTCCACTGACTCAATTCCTGCTTGTTTTTGCAGCCAGAAGTTGTGGGGACTTATGTTCCTGGCATTGGAACCCTGTGCTGGAGGCTTGGTGTGGGGCTAGGAATCCTCGCTCCTGAGATATCCCTCTCAAATTTTTATCCACAACACATGGGTGACGGACCAGCCCATTCCATGTCTGCACCCCTCCTACCGGTCTGGATGGATGCGGTTTCTTTAATTCCATAGTTGTAAGACTTCCAATCAACTCAATTTCTG